CATTTGAAATATATGAGTTTGTATGTAATGTATGAATATAATATACAAGTTTCACTTTTTAAATGGAATTACTGAAATAAATCTACTTTTTCATGATATTCTAATTTTATGACCAGCACCTGTATAAGCATTCATACTGCACTTTTGCAGGAAATGCATATAATTTTTTGAACATCTGTATTTATTATAAAGTTTAAGCTCAAGGATGAAATTTTAGTTTAATCAAATGCATTGAGAATTAAATTGAAATGCTTGGTTTTCTATCACCCTGATATTTTAACACTGACGTATGTTCTTGTCGAGGCGTAGACAGAAGATTTAGTTACAAACAGAAAAGAAAGACGGGTCTGGTTTGAAGTATAAGTGTTGAGGTGAATGTGAAGACTGATAGAAAGTCTTCATCCCAGATAGCATGTTGCCTGGCTCTTTGACAAGTCCCCTCTGTCTCTTCTATTTTTTATTTTCTTTTCAGCTGTCTAATCTTTCTCATCATTTCTACAGCCGATGAAGTCTGCAAGATAAAAATAAGCAGAGGCTCTTTTTTTTGCCACGAATGAGTGAAATCAGTTGTGCTGAAATCGAAATGAGTGCAGGAACAGAACAGCATGAATGCACAAAGAGGGCAGAGGGTATGAACCCAGGAGACATTTTGGAGCCGTTCTGTATTCAGAAACGTGTTCCAGCCTGTTTACACTGCTTTGTCAGCAAACCGATCTGAATCTGACGACACCCTTTGACTTCTCCGTCTCGCAAAAAACCCGCTAATGAACGATTACAAATAAGATCGAACCAATAAAGCGTAGAGCACTACAGCTAATCTGTGTGTTTCTGGGTGAATCCCAGCCGCACATGAGTGGCATCTTAGAGCAGGGCCGCTGTCTTGAGCCACTAAACACGTCATATTAATATACTCCACGGCTGAACATGAGGGAAATTAATAAATTAGCTTTAAATAACTCTGCCAAATGAAAAGGTTAACTCCTGTCTTTACATAGATTCTTATCTGGTGCTTTTTATCAACATGGTGAAAACTCTATGAAGCTTATATTGTATACATGACACAGATCTGTGCTTTATTACTGAAGAAGCTCTTCTCTTGGTGCCGATCGTCCTCCTTGTCTGCATGTGAAAAGATGAGGAAAGAGGAGCTCCGATATGCTGGCTGACATTCATAAACAAAGACGGTTATCGCCTCAGTGTTGACGCCACGAGGTCCAGAGTTGTCAAAAGTATCTGACCTTCATCTGCGCAAGATTACGAAGCAGAAAGAAAGGAAAAATCTTGGAGGAGAGAAAGGGTAAGAAAGTGGATATTGATCAAATGCATGTTCAAACAAACTCAACTGGCGTCAACCTCTGCAGACAATGAAGAACAATGGTAACACTCCTCAAGACAAGTTTGGTGATTTTTTTTCATCTTTTCTCAACCTGTCGACGAGAGGAAATTATACAGCATGAGATATGAAACAGTACGGTAAATAATTAGGGAGTTTTACATCATCATGTCACAATAACATAATTTACGACACTGTTGAAATGGGTCTTATGAAGAAAATAGTTTAAAAAATGCAGATAACACATGCAAATATATCATACATTTAAGTCTCAATTCTTAGTTTAAATTTGTTCTTTTTATTGTTATTTTTTTGGGAAAGATTTGTGAGCAGCTTTAAAAAACAAATATTCACACCTTAATGAAGTAATACAGAGACGTGCTTTGTTTATTTCATAAATTTTGGTGGTATTTTGTAAAGAAAAACAAATATAGATTATAAAAAAGTGAGAGTTCATATTTATTGCACTGCATAGGATGCTGGTGAGACAAAAGAAGTGAATCGTTAAGACGACTTATGCAAAAATATATATTGAGTAGAATATTTGGATTTGTCTGTGTAATACTTTGGTGAGTAACGCAAAATTGTAAGAATCCTATATTCATTAAAGCTTAAAGTGCCTGTGACATACCTGTCCATCAAATACAAACACATTTTTATATAAGAAACCTTGCATAAAATGTGATTTTTACCCATTTGGTCACATAAATGGCCAATTTTCTTTTGAACTTGGATCAGCCAGAGTGAAACAGGAAGTGACATCAAAGGGGAACTATTTAAGAAATAGAACTCTCTAGTCTTTGGTTATTGAAATTATATTATTTGAGCTCTGACTCGTCTTCATCTCTCTGTAGCTGAGTTTCCATTACAAATGTGCGCAAAACTTTGTCAATATTCTGTTAATGTAAAAAAAAAGCAAAGTTTCGCAACTGCGGTGTTTCCATTAAGTAAGAAATGCTATTAAAGTCACGCGTGAATACATTTGTTCTCGCGATAAGTCATTACAAACATGGCGGCAATGGATGTAAACACATAGCATGTTGCTACCACGACACTAGCGCTCATCATCAGAGGAGACGTCGGAGTCGTTTATCGAGACTTTCCAGCGACAAGTCCCTACTTGGGAGCAGCTACGTATGCTGTGTTTTTGGGAAATTGTAGTCGGTGAGTTTACGATTTTATACAACTTCTGTGATATTACTACTACTTTTACTTCCTGTTATCTTCTTCGTCATCGTCTTTTTCACCAGTAGAAACAACCGGTTGTTGATAACCTGACTCCCGTGATGCGAAAAATGTGTTTCCATTGCAGTTTTGTGAAAAACACCAATTTTGATGCGGCCGAAAAACCACCTCAACCTAGCGCAAAAACATTTTGTCGAAAAGCATACTTTTTTCCCGAAATTGACGTGTTTCCATTGAGCAAATTTAGTTTCAAAATTCTAATTTGCGCATTTTCATGGCCAATGGAAACGCAGCTTTTGATAGTGACTCAAAATATTAAAGAAACACGAGATTCTTCTCTACAGTCTGTGTCCTTGGCTCTAACCCATGCAGACGTTCCCCTTTAACATCACTTCCTGTTACTTCAAATGGAAATGTCTCAACAACTGTTCATCTCAGCAGCGGGAATTTATTTTTGCAAAACGTTATTGATGTTATCTTTCCAATAATGCCTTTATATTTATTTWAAAAATTTCATGTCACAGGCACTTTAAATAATACATTTATGTTGCAAAATGTGTATACAGRTGCATTTCTTATATCCGTAGCCTTGAATTCAAGTTCATACATAACAAAGTGCACTAAAGTCTGCTTTCCATTTGGCTGTCAGGCCCTGAGCAGAGCCTCCACAGAGAACGGCAGAGGCCTCACAGTCGCAGTCCTCGCCGAGCTGCGCTGAGGACTCTCCTCTGGGTCGGCACGAGGACCTGCATGAGGGGAAAGAGGGTCTGTGATCCAGCCTCGAGCCGCCAGAGGTCTGGGATCAAAAGTCCTGTTGTGTGGCGYTATGTCTGATGCAGCCACAACGCACAGATCTGATCTAAAAATAGAGACTGCAGTTGCCGAAGAGCCATCTGACTTCGTTATTTCTGTCTGTTTTGAGCCCGGTTTGAGAAAACCAACATGTGGCACGGTGTTGAACTCATTTTTGAGCCTTTGTTGTGACGGCAGAGGCATGAGATCGAGCTGTTTTTTCTTCACGCAGTCTTTCCAGCTGTTCTGCGCCTCCTTATCCTCTACATGTTGTGCGGAGCTTTGGCATAACAAAAAGTCATTATAGTCGCCTCCCGTGGAGGACCTGCTCTTTAGGTGGAAGAGCTCATAAAACTGGAGGCCACATTCACAAAGAGGCTCATATTTATATTCAGGCACGCAGCTGGACGCCCCTGCAGAGGAAGAGTCCTTGCTGCAGCCGTGCAGGCCGGGGGAGATGGGCAGAGGCGGGGGGTGAAGCAGGGGAACGAGACCYGCGGAGGGGAACGGGAAGTCGCTCTGCAGCTCTCTCTGTCTCAGCTCGTGCTCCAGCATCACGTTCTCCAGCTCCTTGTCGGCGAAGGCTCGCCTCTTCCTCATGCGGGCGCTGATGGAGGGGCACGGGAAGTGCGTCTGGTGACGCTGTGGCTGCTTGGACCAGCGGGACGCGTCGCAYTCCGGAGGCGTCGCGGGTTTGAAGCCTGAACATGGGAGAGCAAAGCCACATTCTCCTGTTAAAGGGGCGATATCATGTAAAATCAACTTTTTTTGAGTTTTATATCATGTTATGATGTTATATTCTCATAAAAAACATGCCCAAAGCCTTGCTCTGACTCATTCATGCATGTTTGAGAAATCCTGCAGCGTTTTTATGAAGCCATGCTGAGGAGCAAAAC